GGGGCTGAATAATTTTGCATGCCCAATTTTTCAGTTTTTTATTTGTTAAAAAAGTTTGAAATATCCAATAAATTTCGTTCCACTTCATGATTGTGTCCCACTTGTTGTTGATTCTTCACAAAAAATTACAGTTTTATATCTTTATGTTTGAAGCCTGAAATGTGGCAAAAGGTCGCAAAGTTCAAGGGGGCCAAATACTTTCGCAAGGCACTGTACATAGAGTACATTCAAAACTGTGACTACTGTGTGCATGTCAGAGGTTTGAAGTTGCACACATGATATTTTAACATTTAAGAAATCTTCAGTGATGATATATATGATTGGAAAAAGTCATTGTGAAACAATGCAGGCGCATTTTGAAACCTTTTAACTAATCATCTTGACACTGCAGTTCTACTTTGTTGTCAGCTTTGTTGAGTTGTCATATGCAGTAAAAGACAACAATATGAAAGCAGTGTAAAAGGTTTTTCCACAAACTCAACTGACTGGTTTCACTCCTGTATGATTTCACATGAGTCTCTTCAGACCTTAGAACCGTGCATGAGCCTCCAACTTCTAACTGAAACTGTGTGGTCTATACTATGTGTGACCTTCTACCTGAACTCATTTCAACAAATTGAACATAAGAGTGTTCTAGTTCTGCTATGTACCGATGTCACGAGCCAGCTTTCACCTCGACGATAAATATTGTCACGTTTTAATAGCACAAGATTTCATCGCACCCCTACTTTATATGCAGTGAAAAAGTAAACTTAGTGTCTCAATGCAGAGCATTTCAGAAAAAAAGGAATTATTTAAAAAAAATAAAATTATGTATATGTTATATAGGGTTTAATCTCACAGTCACTTTGACATAAGACACATTGGACAACACCAGCACAGTGAAAAATATTAAACGATATTGAATTAAATAGAACAGTAATAAATATATATGCAGTAGTTTATTCAGTACTGTATATAATCTAGATGGTATTTGTTATTCACTTGTCTTTTTCTTAAAATTGCAGCCATTGTTTGCTTTGACTGCATTGCCTTACTGTAATATTTTGATTTTCTGGCATAGATACCATCTCCTGATTATCAAAAAGAACAGGCAATTTATAGTTTTTATAAATAGACAAATCACCTGTGAACAGTAGCTGCACTATAACTGGACAGTGTATCATCCCTTCATTCCCAGTTCATTTTCTTCCTGCTTATGTTTTTGACATTCACAACCATTGAAAAATTGTAGTAGAACCTTTGTTTAGGAAATTCACTGTAATTTTATGCTCCAGCAGTGATGTTAAAGTAGCTGCTGTTGCTTGAGGTGCTCAGTGTAGCTAGCAGCCATGATGGGTCTATGGGAACAGTTGTCTGGCTCAGCACCTTGTTCCTGTGCCACTGCTCCAGACAGTCCAGTGCTTCAGGAAAGGTCCTACTCTCAAACTTATTGGCAAACATGCTGTTTTTGTTGATGATCCATGGCAGGTCTTCTGTTCCATAGACACAGATGTTTCGTACGTAATGCCCTGGAAAATAACGACAACAATTTTGGTCATGCACTTGTCTTAGATTTGGGCTTGTGTCTGTTTTTCCACAGAACTGTAAATTTTAAATCTTAAATGAATCTGTATGTGATGGTGCATGTGCTGCCGCAGTGCTTTTGGTTGAATAGATGGGCGTATTTTATTGTTACATACAGATCTCATCATTTTTTTCCATCTTCAAATTGTAAAAGTCTTAGAGAGTATATCATATCAGATGAGTCCTTACATTAGCTTGTAATTGGTCCTGTAATGCTGTCTGGAGCTAACAAGCCAAACATACAGCAACTAAGACAAAGCATATGTGGGCAAGTTTTACTTAATAGTACTCACAGTAGGGTAGGGTAGCATAATGTTATGAAAAAAAGTTAAAATTAGTACATGTAGGGCGTTACTAGCAGTAATTATTTATTTGTACATTATGTAACAGATTTTAAATGACATCTTAACAGCATAAAGAATTAAAAATACACAGTTGAACTGCACTAGTTGTAGAGAAGCCCTTCAGCACAGTAATTATCTATTAAAATAGTACATCCATCAGTCGACATGCCCTGCTGTACTGTACCTTTGCAGCCATTATGTGAAAATCCCTCTTGATCTCGCCACTTGATCGCCCTGATGTCCCCTTCCCAGCCTCCATTTACGTAGCTACCTGGAGCTTCTTCAAACACATAACGGACAAAATGAGTCATTATATGACTTAGGTTTAAAGATTTTCTTACTTAAAACCTTTTTGCAATATTTTTACAGGCAAATTAAAAATTCAAAGTGGTGGCTGGAAATGCACTTGTGTACTGTGACTGCCTCAGTCATGCTGAAGCCCACAGCCCATGCAAACATGAATCCTGTTCCAACAAAGCACAGTCTATAAGCCAGTGCAGAAAATTTTTTAGCGATCAAATGTGTTGTTTGACCTTGTTGCGTTCAATATGCTTCTCTATCTTACGACTCCTTTAGTTTAAACATCATAATCACACTAGTTAATAATTAATTGTTCTGTTCTAGGATCTATTCTGCAGAACTAGCTAATGGTTATGTCTGTAGTAGGGGGATGTTGCTGCATGTCTGTGTATCCTTTCAAAACAGACAGATTACCTTTAATGTGGTTGAGTGTCACCCAGTAGTGCTCGTCTGGACTGAACGTGTCTTTGGACCACTCCAAGAGGTCATGAGCTATTGGGCTTTTCAAGACAAAGTCTACAAATTCCCTTGTGAGAGCATAGTAGGCTGTTCCAAAATACACTTGCAGATTGTGTGGAGGGGGATGTTTCTTCCGACCCAGTCCTTTCACAGATCCCCTCTCCTCTGTGTACTGGAGATGTGTCCTATACTTCATATACACTGGCTGTTTGACCCCTGGTGTCATGTTTCTGTCCCTCCACTCTTTGCTCTGCAGGTACCGCACCAGTTCTAGGTTGCTTTTGACAGGGAAATCCTGTCCGCACAGATTCACCACCTTCCTCCAGCCAATCTTGGACTTTGTTAAATCATTCATGCAGTTCAGATCTGCTTGCAGGCGGGAAAACCCAGCATACGTCACTTTCTCGCTACGGCTGGAGAGAAAAATGTTTGGAAAGCAGCTGACTAACTTCTGTACAGCTGCCTGGTACTCTCCTGGGACCTTAGCATCCACATGAATGCAGTAAACATTTTGTGGCATGTAAATGGCCCGCAGTAGGCGCACAAAAATTTCCAGCTCTTTGTGAACAGTCACAATGAATGCTAAAGGGTAGGCTGCCTCCTCACTGCTTAGAGGTGTTGTGATGAAATGAAGGTCTCTTATCAAATTGGAACATTGCAGAGGAGTATACAAAATGTACTTTTCCACCTGCAGGTAGAGAAAAAAGTGTATTAACACTACATCTATTATTAAAACAGAGTTACACATATTGCTTTTTTTTATTTTATTTTTATATATACACAATCCTTTCTCATATTTTTCAGTGTACTTCCTGCTGGTCTCAAATGCATTATCAATAAATACACAGTGTTCCAAATTATTATGCAGATTGCAGTTTGAAATCATTCAGTTGGCCATAATGAACTCAAAACAGTGACCTTTTGTATTGTTGCATGAATAAATCATTCTTCAAAAATAAAGGCAATCAAAAACTATCTCAAGCTATATATTATGTATGAGCCCCACTTTAATAACTCTCTCGTCCACTGAACTTGTAAGTTCTGCTTATATTGCGTTTGAGGATGCCAGTATTGTCTCCCAGAGCTGCTGTTTTGAGGTATACTGCCGCCCTCCCTCATAGATCTTTATTTTAAGGATGCTCCACAGGTTCTCATTTGGGTTTATGGTAGCCACACCTTGAATTTTTTTTTTTTTTGGTCTTCTTTTGTTCCCATAGCCACCAAAGACTTTGCAGTAGTTTTTGCGCTGTCATGCATAAAAACAATTTGTCTGCAAGGACTGGGTCTTCTTTTTATACCACAGTTAGAAATGGTCAGTTAGGAACTCAGCGTATTTTGTGGAAATTATTTTGACACCCTCGGGCACCCTAAAGGGATCCACCATCTCACTTTCTAGTATTCCAGCCTAGAACATCACTCATCACGATACCCGTTTACCGCTTAACAATGGATTTTTTATATATCTGCCATTTTAATAATATTCATTTGTCTGACAATCTTAATAATCCTTTATCTCACCAGATTTGTTTATGCTCTGAATTTCTCACAAATCCTTTCACAGTTTCATGATCTCTCTTCAGTTTTTAAGGTTTTCCTGCCTTGTGCAAGGCATTGCACAGTTTTGCTTTTCTTCTTCCCTATATTTCATGAAAACTTGGACTTATTTAATATTGTGGAACAGCCTCTTTAAGTAAGTTTCCCTATAATTATGATCGCTTGGCAAATTACTTAACCACCTTGGCTCAGATTGATGCCAGTTATCTAACAATATGTGAGCAATAATGCAAGAACAAACTTTCTTAAAAAAAAAAAAAACAAGACTAAAATGTTTGATTTACTGAAATCCTATTGATATGTCACTTGCATAATAAGTTGAAACACAGTGTAGATCAGTGTGTAATTAAGTGTTTGGTTTGATTTGCTTTTTTGATTTGATGGTTTCTTTCTTTTTTCTTTTTTTTTTTAATACATTTGTTTTTACTATGACACAACCACAGAATCTTGTTTATCTGACTCATGTCTTTAACACAGTTTCTGTGCATTTTGTTGGTCAGGAAATTTAACTAAAAACAAACAAACAAAAAAAACCCCATAAAAACCATACCTCGCAGCCATGGCGTTGCCATTCTGATCCTTCTTCAGTGATGGGAAAAAAGTCTTTACATTCATTGGAGAAACTCCTGCAACTTGAGGGCAGTAGGGGCTTGGATTCTTCTGATATCCTGGCCCTCAAATAGATGACTGAACAGACAATAATGCTCATTCCCAGGCACAACAGGAAGCTGCACTTTGTCTGTTCAAGCTGGAACATACTAGCCCTGCTTCACTGTGTCCAGACACCACCACCACCACCACCACTGCAAAAGAGATCCAGATCAGTTCTTTGCAAAAGGGTACTGACTCCCGAGGGATCTTAAATAGGGTTAAGTATGTAGGTTAGCACTAGTTGCTGAAGCCAGTTTTTAGCTCAAAAAATGTAGTTTAGTGTAGTCTATTAATAAATGTTACGAGGTGTGATGCATCATTTGCAACATGTCTCTCCGTCATCTTTTTTGAAACACATCATTCAGCATTTGCAAACATTCCTGAATTATTGCAGGATAACTGCTCTTCACACAGTAGGATTTTTATAATCAGGCAATTTTGTGTTACCTATGTATCTGTGTTATATTTCACTTATGTTGTGTAGCATTCGTGTGGACGGCAAAGTAAAAATTTAATTGTACAGGGAAACACGTTTCCTTACTGTGCATATGACAATAAACCCTTGACCTTCACCTAGTATACATTTCACCTTTTGAAAGCTCTTCTGCCTTGTGTCCCAACTGTTACTTTGGGTAATAATAATTCCACATTTCTAGCATTCACTTTGGCATTATACCCGTCTCTTATGCTTGGTCTGTCTAGAACAAACATCTAAAGCTTCTAGCGTCTTATCTTGATCAAACATCTAATGAAACGCAGCATGTAGAGAATTTCAAAGACAGGGCAAGGTTAGCCAGTTACCTTTGAGGCACGTCAGTCTGTAGTCCGTATGGTGAAGAAGTAAAACATTAGACATCAGTACCTATTCCGACCATTGTTAACTGAACGAGCTGCACTGAGCGCGTTACCATAGTCCATCCAGAGTCCAGCGGGGAATAAGTTATTTCCATTAGTGCCGTCATCAGCATCAACAGGAACAACAGCATCAGTAGAGTACTTTCTGTTCATTCTCTGAGATAAATTTGGTTGACAACATTATGTTGTTGTTGTTTCTTCCCGAGTGGGACCTGGGATGCTGCTTTCACCAAGCTTTAGTCCATAGCAGAGTGAGAGTGTTTTGCGCATGGGTTTTATCTTCTCTGGTTGTGTTCCTTGCCGATTAAGTCGCTTTTCCCCTCGAGAAAAGGTCCATCCCCCGCCTGGTTACCAGCAGTAACGCCCACATACGCACCCCTGATACGCATTTGTGTGCTCACACTTCACACACACAGCCCTTCTCTCACTCTCTCTGCCTTCCTCCCTGAGGTTTTGATAATCTCCTCCCCCATAGAGTTTCCTGTTAACTGCTACAGTGCAGCTTTCTTTTCTCCTCAGACGCTCCTCAATTCTTTTTCCTTTTTTTTCGTCCACGTCTTTAATTCCAGTTAATTTCCTCAGTTAGAAGTGCTCATCTTGAATTATCCAGTGTGTCCATCCATCTTTGCGTCTTGTTCATCGTTTTGTTGCCTGTCAAGTGGCTATTTTAGTGGTAAAACAATGTTGTGGTTGACTTGTTCACTCAGTTGAAGATAAAGTACTGCCATTAGCAGGGAAAGCAGCAGGAGAGTGACTGACTTGAGAGCAGCAGCAGCCACAGAGTTTCCTGCTTGGTCAGCTTCTGAGATTATCCGTCTTGTGTTGAACAGTGCACGTTGCTGGAATTCACACCCACTGGGCTTGTATTAGTGTTACTTTGATCTCATTTTTGTGTTCATATATGGGTGTGACCTTTCATTTTATGAAGCTGTCATACAGCCTGTGTAGACAAAATTATGAATTAGACTTTTGCCATTTGTTTTTGGGTTGGCTTGCTTAATGGTTGGTTTTTCAGAGACTGTGCCTTGTCCCTCTGTTTTGTTTACAAATGGTTCTTGCTGAATTTGATGACATAACATTTCTACCATTTCTTTTGATAAATTAGCATCCATAAAAACATGATGAGTGAGAAATTGCTGCTATATTTTGGTTTGGTCTGTAACAAAGGAGTGGATTTTTAACTTGGTGAAACAGTTTTCTGCAGGCAACATCTTATTATAAAGACAAAATCCTATTTAACAAGTTTAAAACACAGTATTTGTCATAAAATGTACTTGAATTCAGTCAAGGAAGTAAGATGCCAATTATTATTATTATAAATAAGACTCCTCTATATTAGAGGAGCCTTATTTATAACCACTGTGTATGCACAAAACAGGGATTCCAGCTTTGGCAAATGCAAAAAGGATGATTGAACCAAACAAGATGCACCTGGTGTCAGTTTGGCATGCCACAGCAGCTCGATACATTTCAGTACAGTCCTCTAGCGGAAAACCTCCTAAAGATAAATAAAGCAAGCTGGATGAACCTGATCACAATTCAGTGTCACACAAAGGCATGAGGGATTCCAGTTTGACTTTTAATATATTTGTGGTGTGTGTGTGTGTTTGCATGTGTGTTTTTGCTTTGAGTGTAGATTGATGGGTAAAAATTGAAATGGAAAGTTGTTTAAAACTAAATAATAAGCACAAAAAAGTATGTAAAGGACCCTGAATAATCTCTGAAGGTACTGTAAACCAAGTGCAGCCTACATGCAAATAAAATGAAAAGGGATGTCATGTGACGGAGAGCTGATTTGGATATTGTGCTTTAATAATTGCACTCAGTAATGTTTCCATCACAATGTACAGTCTACAGATGAACTTTTCATAGGCAAAAAATGCGGTTGCACATGGAAATAACTTTTTTCTCTCTGCCTTTTCTGCCAGCATATCCCTGTCACATATTCCTCACAAATATTAAAATAGCTTTGCAAGCCAAAGTAGGATGACATTGCCTGACTAGTCTGTGCACTGAATTGAAGTACTTTCCTGGGCTTTTGGTCTGATCATGCAGCATTTTGTGAGATTGTGTATTTTTAAATAGACTTAAATGGTTTTAATTAACTTTTTCAGAGAAACACCAGTTGTTGAGAAATTTATGTGTTAAGGTAGATGAGCAGGAAACATTGTTTCATTAAAGAGCCCATGGCATGCTCATCTCCAGCCATTTATTGTTTAATCTTGGGTACTTCTAGATTAGCTTTGCACCCATCATAGCTCCAAATAGTCCAATTATTTCAGAATGATAAAACCAGAGAGCCTCTTCCTAAAAACCAGAGGATAGCTCGTGAACGCGCACACCTCGTGCTGCCGGTGTTGTCGAAAGTGGACAGCTCAACGACCTGCGAAGGCATTAATTAGAGTTTCTCCTCCATAGATAGATAAACAATGATATATATACCGATGAAAAGAGATGTGTAACACTCTAAACAAAGCAGGTATTTGAGAAATCCCATATTTTAACTGGCATAATGCAGACATAGTAACTTCCCAAGCCTTACAACAATTCTCTCTAACATTACAGGAACAAGGTATTAACAGACATACAACCTGTGTTTTTTTAAACTTACCATTAAGTCCCGCCAAGTAGTGGAAACATCAACCCCTTTCAAGTAGCTCCAAGGTCGGTAAATCCAACTGGTGGTCACTGCGTTTTCCCCCCACACAACCACATAGAAACTAATTCCAACAGGTAGCATAGCACCGACAATAACATCATGGGTCGTTAATCCTCAAGTTAACCAGCAACACATCACATGTGGCAGACACACTGGTCTCAAGCAGTCAAAATACCAGGTACTGTGCTCTGGGAGAAATCCAGTGTCAATGAGCTAATCACTCACCGGCCCGGGGTGCTTCACTGCTCAGCTGCTTGTAGGTTAGATCTGGTCAGGTAAAACAACAAGTAAATCCTTAAACTATCACATAATATGGTATTTTGTTTAAAAAATTCTCGCTCGCGAGAATTTGCAAGACTTGTATAAACAAAGTCGCTCCTGCATAAAAGTACTAGAACATACGTGCACCTCATTTTTTGAACTTTAGGTCACATCTAAGATGATAATTCACTGTTCTAACATTGTAGTTAAGTCAAAAAACAAAGAAAAGCATGCCATGGGCTCTTTAAATTGAAATGCCAGACAGTCACACACTGTTAATGTGTAACTTGGAAGCATTTGCCTTAGAGCTACTAACTACATTGACATTATAACTTGGGTTCATTCACTAGATAATGCAATTTAAAGATATCTTAAAGTCTTAGAGTCTTTTCTGATAGGTTAACTTTATTATTTGCATTAAGATATATGAAATGATTCCTGTGAGGTTGGTTCCACTGTTATGCATCAGCCTGCTTCAGACAAAACTCATATAACACAAACCTGTTCCATTTTTATTAGTTTTTATTTAGTTAGTTTGATGACATTCATCAGCTCATTGGATACATGATTAAACTAAAATATGATTAATGTTAACACTGAACTAACACTAGTTCTAAATAACAGTTTTTAAATTGCTGCAGAAGGTGTTAAAGCTAAATGCTGAGTATGAACTGCCTTTACATGAAATGTTTTTCTACTGTCAGCCAGGGTCAGTGTCTTTTAACTAGGGTGTCCTGTTTGTGCTTTAGTGTGGGGACCCATTTAAAGATGAGGACATCATTGTGCTTAATGGCACTAAGGAGGAGATGGAGATGCTGAGGGCGAAGATGGAAGAGAGGCGGGCCAAGGCCAAAACTAAGGTAAGTTTCAATTATAATTGAATTGCAGCTAATCTAAGGTGATGAAATGTTGGTAGGTGATCAGGTTTGAATATACTATAAAATATTGTGTTTTTCTTAGTTGGTTAGTTTTTCAATAGTATTTTTCTTCACAAGAAAGAAATATATAAATTCTGATAACTGATGTATCTAGTCAGAATTTTGTCTTGGAATCATTTTTCAAGTTATAGTTAATGTCTGGGTTAATGATTTATTTATATTAAGTAATCACTCCATTTCCCTTCTTGCTTTAGAAATCAAAGAAGAGCAAAGCTGCTGAAACAGTGTCTACTTCACCAGAATCCAAAGGTTTGTGTGAATCTTTATTGAGGCATCATATCTCTTATTCAGGCAAATTTCTTATCCATAAACAAAAGAGATATGTTTTGAGAAGTTTGATTATGTACATATTTAAAGAGGAGGTGTCCAGGAAACTACAACCCCAAATCATAAAAAGTTGGGATGTACTGTATGTAAAATCAAAGTTAAAACGGAAAATAGTGATTTGTAAATCATTTGTGTCCTGTATTACATTTAATAAACTCACTTCAATTCTGATGCCTGCAACACATTCAGAAATAACTTTGACAGTAAAGTATTTACCATGGTGTGACTTAAAAGATGTTTAAGGACTGAGGGCACCAAGTGATTCGGTGTGTCAGTTGTCATTTTGTGCCATTCAAGTCTTAAGGTGCGCAACACTCCTGGGTCTTCGTTGATGTAATTTGTGTTTCAAAATGCACCACACATTCTCTGCTAGGGACAGGTCGGCACTGCAGGCAGGCCAGTCCAGCACTCACACCCGTTTCCTCCACAGCCAGGCCTTGGTAATATGCACAGTGTGAGATTTTGCATTGTCTTGCTGAAATATGCATGGGCGTGTAAAAGGTGTCGCCTTGAAGGCAGCATATATTGCTCCAAAATCTCTGTGTATTTTTCAGTATTAATGGAGCCATCACAGAAGTGTAAGTTGTCTTTGCCAAGGGCACTGACACAACCCCAGACCATGACAGACCCTGGCTTTTGGACTTGTTGCTTTTCATCTTTGGTCTGGAGCACACTGTGTCCTTTCCCTAAAAAAACAAACAAAAAAAAACAACTTGAAATACTGATTCATATGACCACATTTTTCCACCGTGTTATGGTCCATCCCAGATTCTTCCGAGCACAAAGCAGTTGACATAGGGCTTCCTTTTGTCACAGTACAGTTTTCAGAGGCATTTATGGATGTAACTACGCATTGTAGTGCCTGATACAGGTGTGCCAAAGTAATCCTGAACCCATGTGGTTATGTCGCTTATTGAAAAGTGACAATTCTTGATGCAGTGCTGCCTGAGGGCTCGGAGAACACGGTCATCCAGCTTAGGCTTCTGCCTTTGCCCTTTGTGCACTGAAATCCCTCTGGATTCCTTGAATCTTTTAATCATGTTATGGCAGTAGAGGATGATGTATCCAAATCCCTTCCTATCTTTCTTTGAGGAACATTGTTTTTAAACATTTCAATAATTTTCTCACACATATGTTGGCAAACTGGTGGCCCATCTTTACTCCTAAAGGGCTCGGCCTTTCTTGAATGCCACTTTTGTACCAAATCACAATTGTAGTCACCTGTTGACATCACCTGTTTCAAAAAGAATGGATTTTGACCTTGAAGGCTATGATTTGGTATGCACAAACAGAGAGAATAAGATGGGAGGTGGTGTGGCCTTGTACATAGATAAAAACCTTAGTTATAAGAATGTCTAGGGTAGTAGATAATTTACTCGAATGTGTGACTGTTGAACTATCTTTGGAAAAAAAGAAGAATGTTGTAATAAGCTGTATCTACAGAGCACCTGGAGCCAGCATAGAAAAATTTAATGACTGGCTGGAAGAAAATTACTCGTCAATAAGTCATAAATTAATGTTCATATGTGGTGACTTCAATATAGATTTGTTAAATCCTAACAAGCACACAGGAAATGAGGAGTTTATTAACACAATATATAGATGCAGTTTATACCCAAAAATTACAAAACCAAGTAGAGTAACAACCCAGCATGCAACACTAATAGATAAT